ATATCGACAAAAAATTAAAAAAAAAAAAAAAAAAAAGTACAGGCTGGGGCCAGATTGCCTGGTTTAAAATGCTATGGCATACTACCTATGTGACCTGGGGCAAGTTACTTTACCCTTCTGAGTTTCCATTTCCTTTTTTTATAGGAAACAGTCATAGCAGCTAGAAGATTAAATGAGTAAAACTCTTAGGAAGTTTCTGGATGTAGTGTTATTTAAACAGGTTAGATAATACTATGATTGCCCAGTGTACCCCACCCTAAGCCAGGGTTTTGTACCAAATGTTTCATTAGGTTAGTTCATTTTCCCCATTGCTTGATTAAGCACACATTACCACTTAGCTCTTCTGATTGACTTTCCCTTTCCTCTCCTTCACTTCCATTGGATTTATGTATTACCTCAGTGCTTGCTCAGGTAGAGGGGGCCGATTGTTAATTGGCTCTGGGTGGTTATTGCTGTGTGGGAATAAAATAGGTCTAGTGGTGCAAAATCTGACTTCTTTTTTGTTGTTGTTGTTTTGTTTTGTTTTTTTAAAAGATGACCGGTAAGGGGATCTTAACCCTTGACTTGGTGTTGTCAGCACCACACTCTCCAAAGTGAGTGAACCGGCCATCCCTATATGGGATCCGAACCCATGGCTTTGGTGTCATCAGCACCACACTCTCCCGAGTGAGCCAAGGGCCAGCCGAAGATCTGCCTTCTTAAAAGAAGCTGGAAATTCGTACTTTTACATGAAAACTTGAGGTTTTTAAAAAATACTGATGCATGTTTTACAGAAAGTATGTGTGAGACAATGAGATTATATCTGTGAGCTCAGTTTAGCCTGAGGACGCTAGTTTGTAATCTCTTTTCAAGTGTTGGGAAGAACTAACCCCTGTTCCCCATCCCCCGACCACTGCCCCAGGGAGAGCTCCATGTGGTTCAGTATTCAGTCTCTGGAGTTGGGCCACCAGGCTTTGTTTCTTGGCTTCGGTGCACATTAGCTGTGTGACCTTGGGTAAGCTCCTGAACTTCTGTGTACCTCAGTTTCCTCATCTGTAAAGTGGGAATCATCCATCGTACCTATTTAGTGATCTTGCTTCAGGCTGGAAGGCTGTGATTTCATGTAAAGCATCTAGGATCGAGCTGGCTTATGGTCATCGCTGATGTTTCCCAGGATCTTCTGTTCTCTCTCAGGGATTAAGAAGTCCATTGAAGTTGTTCTCCTCTGCCTTCCAGGTCCAGTTTGGCCATGCCGGAGCTTGTGCCAACCAGGCTTCTGAAACTGCGGTAGCCAAGAACCAGGCTTTGAAGGAAGCGGGAGTGTTTGTACCCCGGAGCTTTGATGAGCTTGGAGAAATCATCCAGTGAGTAGACCCTGGGGAAGATGCCGGTCTCCGCCTTCCCCTCCTGATCCCTCCTAAAGATGATAGCCTCTCCAACATAGGGGCATCCGATCTTCCCGATCCCTCTCAGACGTCTAGCACAGCTGTATGGATGCTTCAAAATCCTCTTTCTCTTTGGTTTTCCTTTTGTTTTGTTTATAGAAGAAGCAGGTACAGGCCATTCAGGCTGGTGTTGAAACGTATCCTGTTTCTGAGCTACCTACTTGTCTGGGAGTTGGTGGCCATAAATGAGAGATGAGCATGGAAATATTTAGAAAGTGTCACTTCCGATTGATAAGTTATTGGACTGCCTATTGTCTCTTCCCATTTCTAGCTCTTGAACCTGTCTAGGCTACTTCCCTCTGTTCTTAGCCTCTGGATTCAGCTTTCTAGAAAGCCCCATTCAGAGTTGGGGATATGATGGGATGTGAGGTAGGAGGGGCGAGTGCAGTCTTGGTCAGAGCTTGTTTTCGTTTAGTTCTCGGAATCCAACTGGTAAGAGTAAGCCGCTGACAGGAAAGGTTCAGAGCTGAAGAAACCTATAGTGTTTGGGTTAGGGGGAGGAGCATTTTGGGGATGGCTTGGAAGAACCCAGAATAATAAAATTCATGTGGATTTCTTTTTTCCTGTCTCCCCGCCTTCCGCCTCCCAGGTCTGTGTATGAAGATCTTGTGGCCAATGGAGTCATTGTACCCGCTCAGGAGGTGCCGCCCCCAACAGTGCCCATGGACTACTCCTGGGCCAGGGTAGGTGCTTTGGATGTCCCTAGTAGTATGGGCAAAGGAGGTTTGGGGGTGGGGATTGGTACAGTGGTGGCTTTTGAGTTGATTTGGCTCAGACTCCTAGAAACCTAGCTCTCCTAACTAGTTCAAGCAGCCATGTGGTCACTTCTTTGGGCCCTAAACCATGGGATGCTTCTCTAAGGGCATCAAGAAATCCCATGATGGACTCTTGGATTCCACCCTCTGCTTGTGTGCAGGAGCTTGTAAGGTGGCCCCTTCTGACCATCAGATAATACAAAGGCAGGGCCTGGGAGGGCTAGGGGCAGCCTGTGTCTCCCACATCTGCCACCTGACTTGGACATGAAGGGGGCTTGTAAGGTGGCCCCTTCTGACCATCAGATAATACAAAGGCAGGTCCTGGGAGGGCTAGGGGCAGCCTGTGTCTCCCACATCTGCCACCTGACTTGGACATGAAGGGGCCTGGGGACAGATAATGTCTCTACAGTTGTTTTGTGCCTGCTAAGGGATTTCATGGGTGAAGTAGAGAGTCCATCTGCGTAACTGTTTATGGGGCATAGATGAAGAGCTAATTTTCTTTTTTTTTTCCCCTTTTTGTCTTTTTTCGTGACCGGTAACGGGATCGCAACCCTCAGTGTCGCGCCCGTACCGTGACCGGCAACAGGATTGCAACCCTTGGTGTCACGCCCGCACCGCGCTCAACCAGTGAGCGGACCGGTCTCTATATGGGATCCGAACCCTCGGCGGGAGTGCCGCTGCACTCCCAAGCGCCACACTCTACCGAGTGCGCCACCGGGCCGGCCCTAATTTTCTTAATTCACAATGATTCTTAAAAATTAGTGTTTAAAAGACCAATAACCTATTAGAAAAATGGGTCAAAAATGGCTTTTCAACATGAAAAAATGATCAACCTCACCAATTATAAAAAGAATAATGTAAAAGCTGTGATACCAATTTTCCCCTATAGGGCAGCAAAGATAAAAAAATTATTTGATAATGTGTTTATACAGGTATGAGGGAACTACTGCATTCATTCATTGTTGGTGGGAGTAGAAATTGGCACAGTCTTTCTGAAAGGCAGTTGAGTAATAGCAGTGAAGTTTAGAAGTGCTCATACCTGACAGCCCACCAATTCCATATCTAGAAAGCTACTTCAGAGATATGCTTGTGTATACCAAAGAAACACATCCAATGAGATATATATATATGTGTGTGTATGTATATATATATATATATATATATATATATATATTTTTTTTTTTTCTTTAAAGTGATGACTGGTAAGGGGATCTTAACTCTTGACTTGGTGTCGTCAGCACCATACTCACCCAGTGAGCTAACTGGCCATCCCTATATGGGATCCAAACCCATGGCTTGGTATTTTCAGCACCACACTCTCCTGAGTGAGCCACGGGCCAGCCCCAAGGATATTTTTTTAGTTGATGGTTATCAGTGTAAATACTCAGTGGATTACCAGTGATTTGTGGTATTTTCGTATGCTGGGATACCATATAGGAGTTAAAAGGAATGAACTAGATCTGTGTATGCAGCAACAGTTATTTATTTATTTATTTATTTAAAACTTTGTTGGATTAAAATTGATTATACATATTTTCGGGGTTCAACATTGAGATATGTTGATCAAATCAATATCACTGGCATATATATTTGTTACACATCATAATTATTATTATTAATTTTTTTTTTTTAAAAAGATGACCGGTAAGGGGATCTTAACCTTTGACTTGGTGTTGTCAGCACCACGCTCAGCCCGTGAGCGAACCGGCCATCCCTATATGGGATCCGAACCTGGGGCCTTGGTGTTATCAGCACTGCACTCTACCGAGTGAGCCACGGGCCGGCCCCATAATTATTCTTTATGCCCCTTGTCCAATCTCGCCCCATCCTCTCTCTCCGTCCCCCTCCCCCTCTAATTACCCTAGATTTCTTCTCTCCTTCTGAAAGAATAATGGTTACTCTGTTGATTTGTTGCCTAGATGATCTGTCCAATGCTGAGAGGTATGATCAGGTTCCCCAGTATTATCATAGAGCAGATGCTTCTTCTATCACTCTGAAATGGGCTTTGTGGAGAGAGACATCATCTTTTCTTTATCTCTGCTGGTGACTCTCCTTGTGTCAATGCAATCCAGTGGTTGGTGGACCATCTGCATGGTGGTTGTGGTGTCTCCTGCTTTCGCAGCAACCATGGTTATTGTGGTGGCTGTGGTGGGCCACCCACATGGCAGTAATGTTTTTGGCATGCTCCTTAGTGCTGGTGGAGTGCCTGGTTGTGGGGAATGTCTGGTCCTTAGATCCATGCCTTGGGTCCCCAGGTGGGACCTGAGGTGCTGGCGCGGTGTGCCTGATTGTGGGATGGGTTCCGGTCCCTGGCTACATGCCTCGGGTCCCCGGGTGGGCCCTGAGGCATTGGCATGGTATGCCTGGTTGTGGGCAGGGGGGTCCAGTCCCTGGCTGCATGTCCCCGGCCCCCGGGTGGGCCCCAAGGTGCTGGCAGTGTGCTGGATGTGGGAGTGGGGTCCCGTCCCCAGCTCCAAGCCTTGGGTTCCTGGGCAGGCCCTGAGGTGCTGGTGGTGAGAATGGTTATGGGTGGGGGTCCTGTCCCTGGCTCCATGTGTCATGTCCCCTGGTGGGCCCCAAGGCACTGGTGGTGTGCCTGGGCTGGAACTAATTTTTTTTTTTTTTAAAGATGACTGGTAAGGGGATCTTAACCCTTGACTTGGTGGTGTCAGCACCACGTTAACCCAGTGAGCAAACCGGTCATCCCTATATGGGATCCGAACCCGTGGCCTTGGTGTTATCAGCACCACACTCTCCCGAGTGAGCCACGGGCTGGCCCTGGAACTAATTTTTTGTCCTTTACTTATTTCTAACATGGTGGAACTTCCTTTGGGAATCAGTACTTTAGCTGTGTGGTTGACCTAAGTTGCTGCTTTGATGCTGTTTCCCTAGGGAAGGCTTTTTGTGTAGCTCAGAGTTTAATGGTTGACCTTATAGGTACTTCGGGCTCTCCAAGAGAGACTTGGTGCACCTGGGGTGATCTGGGCCTGAGTTTTTTCATCAAACTGCACCCTATGCAATTCTGCATTCCCGACCAGTCTCCTCTGGGTGGTCCTGCGCTGATTGGGGAGGGGATCGGCTGTCCTTGCTGTGTCCCAGTGTTCTGCCAGTGGGCCTGTCTCCCCCATCTCCTGTGCTCCGAACACTTCCCATGGGGCGGGCCCTGTGCCAGTCCATTGCATTGACTCACTAGCCTCTGAATGGCTCCCCTTTTTCAGCTGTTCTGGCTTCTCGCTCCTGTGTGGGTCCACAGGAACCCTATTAGTGGTCTTACTGTCCTGGGGGCCACCAAGGCCCTCTTCTCCCCTGCTGCCTCCAAGTAACTCCATCTGAAGGGCACAGCTTGTGGCTTCTGCCAGCTCCTGCTCCATGTGCTCAGTAGTTCCACCATTAAAGCGGCTGAGGCCTGAAACGCTCAGAGCAGTTCTTTCTTTCTCTCATCGTGGTTTCTCCTGCCTTCATGAACTCTGGGGTAGGTCTCTCCTCCTCTTACCCTGAGCTCTAGCAGCCTCAGCTTGGCTGGTGTTACATTTTTATAATTGTAAATCGGTTGATTTGTGGGGGAGAGTGACTCTAGGGTCCCTCTATCCTGCCATCTTGCTCTCTCTTCATATATAGCAACATTTATAGAGCTCAGATTCATTGATAAATGGCACATTATGGGACAGTACATCTGTGATGATTATGAAAAACGTATACACACAAAACAACACTGTATACTTCCCATGTGTCTATGTATGTATGCATGTAAATAAAAATGGGGAGAAAAAGGTCCAGAAAGATGTCCACCAAACTAACACTAAAGGGGCCGGCCCGTGGCTCACTTGGGAGAGTGTGGTGCTGACGACACCAAGTCAAAAGTTAAGGTCCCCTTACCGGTCATCTTTTTAGAAAAAAACAAACTAACACTAAGGCAGAAGATGAAGATTGGGGTGGAGGCCAAAGGGGACGTAACTATATCTGTTCTGCTTTGAATTTTTGAAAAGGAGAACATATTCATCTTACTTTTGTAATTAAAATATAACTTAAAAGCATTTAAAAAATGTCACGGGGGCCGGCCCATGGCTCACTCGGGTGAGTGTGGTTCTGATAACGCCAAGGCCACGGGTTCGGATCCCATATAATGATGGCCGGTTGGCTCACTGGGTGAGCGTGGTGCTGACAACACCAAGTCAAGGGTTAAGATCCCCTTACTGGTCATCTTTTAAAAAAAAGAAAAAAATTTCAGAGGGGGTAATTAAAGAAATGGGGTTGGGCAGAATTGGCTGATGATACCCCTGTTGTGCCCTAACTCCGGAGATGCAGATTCAGCTCAGCACCCTTCCCCTGGCTGAAAGAATAGTTGAGGGGCTACCCCCTGTCCACAGCCATGTACCACATTACATTTTGGTGGGGTTGGCTGCTTTATGTGAAGTATTGTAAAAATTTCCCTCTGGATTCCTTCTTCCATTTCTTAGCCAGGAGACCTTGGGTTGGTTACCTCGCCTCTCCGAGCCTCATTTTCTCTGCTGTAACATGAGGAATGATCCTCCTTTATGAGGTTAAGGTGAAGCAATGAATGTGAACTGCTCAGTGTACTGTCTGGTCCCCAAAAAGCTCCAGTAAAGGACAGAAATAGCTGGTGCTAAGTGGCTACCATGGGCATGGTCCTATTTTCTAAACCCGAAATGATCTAATAAAAGTCTTGCCCCTCCCTAATCCTCCCCTAGGCTGCCCAAGTACTCTTGCCAGTTTATTGAGATGTGTCTAATGGTAACAGCTGATCATGGGCCAGCCGTCTCGGGGGCTCACAACACCATCATCTGTGCACGGGCTGGAAAGGACCTGGTCTCCAGTCTTACCTCGGGGCTGCTCACCATTGTAAGTATAGTCATCCCGGGAGGTAAAAAGCTGGAACACTGGGCTTTGGCATCATGCTGCTTGGCTCCAGCAAGGTTCTAGAAGAAGCCCCTGAGTGTGAAACCCTGTGCTGGGGGCTGCTCAGGATCTACTGAATTGGTTTGCAAAGCTGGAGGAACTCTTAACAGCTTATGTCAATATGTGTTTGTTTCTCCTACAGGGGGACCGGTTTGGGGGTGCCTTAGATGCAGCAGCCAGGATGTTCAGTAAAGCCTTTGACAGTGGCATTATCCCCATGGAGTTTGTGAATAAGATGAAGAAGGAAGGAAAGCTGATCATGGGCATTGGTCACCGAGTGAAATCGGTAAGTTGCTCTCAGTAAGGGCGGGGGGGGGGGGATCTCCAGGATGGATGGTGACAGGAGAGCATCATTTTAGTTGGGAACACCCAAGCTTTTCACTCCCACCATGCAAAGCTTTGGATGCATTGACAAATGCCAAATATAAGGCAGCTGTGTTTTTCATGTTATAATACAGATTGTCCTTACAGTTTTTATCTCGTTCAATTGCTGTGTGAAAATATGATGAGGTGGAAACTTGGTACTTTAGCTTCCCAAATGAACATTATAGGAGAAAGGACTATGTCAGGGTTAAGGGGACATATTGGTCACCTTAGGCTAGGTAATACTTCATGCTGCCATAACAGACAACTCCAAAAATCTCAGTGGCTTACAACTGCAAAGGTTTATTTCTCATTCACACTACATCCTCTTTGGGTGGCTGTGGCTCTGTTCTCTGTTGTCTGTGTTGAAGCAGCAGCCCCTGTCTGGGATGTGCTGGTGTCATGCAGTCTCACGCAGGCCAGGTAGTCCTCTGTGTGTCCTGGTAGTGTGTTGTGTTTAGAAACCAAAGAGAAAGAGAAGAGGTGGTTGGCAATTGCTAAGGGCCTTATAGCAACAGCTCCTTAGGAAGCTCCTTAGCTCTGTGGTTCCAGAAACCTCATTTAGTTGGGCACTGTGCTGGTTTAGGTGGGGAGTGTTAATACAAGAGGGTCATATGTGTGATTCAGGACATTCCAGGCATTCAAATGCTTGGCCATCGTGGGTTAGACATCCAGAGTTTGCTTGATGAGCCAGGACTGGATTAGAACCAACCAGGGAAGGTGGTGAACTCTAAGGGACATTCCACCAGGCCTTGCTGAACTTTGCTGAGCCACCTCCAGCTCCTGAGCAGATAACAACTTTCTAACCCACAACTCAGGGCCTCTTTCTAAGATAATGCTAGACCTGTTCTGCCACACTCCGTCTTTGAGCTCTTTCCGTTCTGGAGTCCATACTGACCTAGTGTTTCTCTTTGCTGAGCAAGGAGGTGGTCACTCTGGTATTGGGATTTGGCATGTGCCTAAATCACTTCACTCCCTGACTAACGGGTGTGTGTGGATCTCTCAGCAGATGGTTAATTTCATTCATTGCAGGTCTGGAATTTTTCCTAAAATTTTGGGGATACTTTGCCAACCCACTCCCAACATGTGCTTGCTTAGAGTAGAACTTTGCTACAGCTGACTAGACCACAGAGCTGGTGGGAAGCATAGCTGGTGGCTGGAACCTAAGACTTCAGGTTGTAGAGTGGGCCAGTCCCAGCCCCCTGCTGCGTGATACTGTAGGACCATGGCTAACTTCCTGAACGTCTCCAAGGCTCAGTTCCTTCTTTGTAACATAAAAGAGAGAAACCTACAGAGGTTGTTTGAGGCCCAACTGAGATAGGAGAGGACTTCAAAAACCTTAAGCCCCACAGCAGTGTCATAATCAGTGCTACATGGATAGTACATGTGGATCAGGTTCCTGAATCACCTCTGAGATGAGATGTACAGTTCTGTCCACCTATGGCAAGTCCAAACAGGCTCTTAACAGTAGAGTTTGAGTGGTAACTTTGTAACTTTTTTGTAACCTCTGTAACTTTGTGTCCATTTCTAGATAAACAATCCAGACATGAGAGTGCAAATCCTCAAAGATTACGTCAGACAGCACTTCCCTGCCACCCCGCTGCTCGATTATGCTTTGGAAGTGGAGAAGATTACCACCTCAAAGGTAATAAAGTTCTCTAATCATTTTTTTGTGTAAATTTCCTGGGAAAGGGGAGCCAGGTTAATTTTGGTTGTGCTGCTAAAATCAAACCTGGTCTATTTTGGAAATTTTATTCCTGTTGCATAATTAAATTCAACAGACAGGTATTAAATGTCAACTAGGTCCTTTGTCTAGACACTGGGAATTGAACTGAGTATGACACAGTGTCAACCAACTGGGATGTTTTGGTGGGAGCTTTTTAAATGGCGGTCAGAATCCATAGTAATAGGACTGGCTGGTTAGCTCAGTTGGTTAGAGCGCAGCCTTGTAACTCCAAGATCATGGGTTCAGATCCCTGTACCAGCCAGCTGCCAAAAAAAAATTCATGGTAATAGTAGTAGTAACAGTGGAAAATTACAAAGAAAAAATGGTAAATGCTTTGAATTTTTTGCCTTCGCAGAAACCAAATCTTATCCTGAATGTGGATGGTTTAATTGGAGTTGCATTTGTAGACATGCTTAGAAACTGTGGGTCCTTTACTCGGTGAGCATCGTAGTTATTTTCTTCTCACAACGTTTGTTGATTTTTGTCGGTGTGGTTTGCTCCCAGCTATAAAAGTCACACATGCTCCTTATAGATTTAGAGAATATGGAGAGCTATAAAGAAAACAAAAATTGCCTCTAATGCCACTGCCCAAGGCACCCCTCTTTTCTACTTTGAAACCACAAGAGAGCTTTTCATTCCTGGGCAGAAGTAGTACTGTCTTGGGGAAGAGGGCAGTCACGTGAGCCACTTTAACACTACAAGTTGATTGTGTGTTGCAGGGAGGAAGCTGATGAATATATTGACATTGGAGCCCTCAATGGCATCTTTGTGCTGGGAAGGAGTATGGGCTTCATTGGTAAGTTTGTTGTTTTAAGTGTTGTTTTTTTTTCCTCTTAACCTCCAAGGTTTAGCTATACCACCTACTCGAATGATGAGTCATTGTTTTTAATCCTTCTTTTCTTTAAATTTCCCCTTATCTTTGTCTTTGTTCCTTTGTTCTTAGAAGTGACTTTGATAGCTAGCCCGGGAAAACAGAGTTAAATCCAACAGTTCCCTTTTACCAAGTCTGGCTGATCTGCCTGTGGAATGGATCTGAATTTACTTGCCCATTTCTTTGCAGCCACCTTTTTTGTATTAGAAAGATTTCCTTTCCTTAGCCTCTCCCCTCACCAGGCTTGTGGAACTGTAATAAAAAGATGCATTTGCTCCTTTTTAGGACACTATCTTGATCAGAAGAGGCTGAAGCAGGGGCTGTATCGTCATCCGTGGGATGATATTTCATACGTTCTTCCGGAACACATGAGCATGTAACTAAGCTAGGAACCCTACTGCAGTAAATCGAAGACAAGAACTCCTCCTTGGGAAATAGTGTGCAGGCAGCTGGCAGTGGAGCCTGCTATAGGATGAGCATGGAATGTAAACAGCCACCGGTGTGCAGGGACCGAAGACCAACACCCACAGGCTAACTGCCGCTCAGTCCATACAAAGAAGCTTAATATTTTTTTATAAGCATAGGAATAAACACCAAGCCAATACTTGTGACATTTGCTCTGCTACCTGCTGTATTTATTATATGGAAGCATCTAAACATTTGTCAGGATAACATTCTTCCTCATTCTAGGGTGTTGTGACGTTGCTTTCTTTTTTCTATCAGTTAAAAAAAATTTTTCCCTTGAGGAAGGGAATGAAACTTTTAAGACCTCAACATACTATACATTTAAAGCCCACTGATGTCTTGTTTTTCCACTTCCTTTCTTCCTCCACATATAACACGAAGAATATCGTATTAATCTGATTTTTAAGGATCTTTTTGTATGTTATGTGTTAGAGTTTGTTTGTTATCCCACTGAAATGTCCTGTCTTGCAGACCAAAGTCTGCCTATGTCAGAGGTATGGGACCATTGCATCCTTAGCCATTGTCACATAATGTGTGGAGTAGTAATTTAAAGTATAAAGTTGTAACGTACATATGTTTGAAATGGAAACGCAAAGCAAAAAGCTGTGAAATGTCTTGCGTCTTATGTTGTCTGTATTTATGCAGCTGATTTATCTGTTACTGAAGTGTGGATCCAAGGACTCCAGCTACTTGCATATATAATCCACAAAGATTCTGGGCAGCTCGCACCTCAGTCTCTTCTCTGTATCATCATAGTTTGGTTTAAATAAACTATATACTAACAATGAAGGCATACTGCTGTTTCATGTTTTTTATATCCTTTCACCTGTATTGCTTCAAGCTGTACTTTCTAATAGTTTCAGAACATGTCGTTTTTAAAATGCTCATGCATGGGGCTGGCTGGATAACTCAAGTTAGTTAGAGCATGATGCTGATAACACCAAGGTCCAGGATTCCATTCCTGTACTGGCCAGCCAAAATAAAATAAAATGATCATCCACATCTTAAAAAAAAAAAAAGTCAAAACAAAAGCCTAAAAAAATACAAAAACACTTGGTGTTATAACACCAAGATCAAGGGTTTGGATCCCCATACACACCAGCTGCCAAGAAAATTTTAAAAGCCCACTTGTCCCTAAATCTGTGAATGATAACCAAAACTCTGTCCGGATACTCAGGCCAAAAGCTTGGGAGTCACCCTTTCCTCTCTCTAGTTGCCAAGTCCTGTTGATTTACCCTTTAACAATCTGATCTGTCCACATCTGGTCTGGTAACTGGCACCCCCTTTCCCCCGCTTTGTCCGTTCTCCACACAGCCACCACTGATATTTTTAAAAATACATTGGATTCAACCACGCCCTTGTTCAAAATCCAAAAGTGGCTTTTACTCACCGTTTTAACAAATATATAGGGAACAGTGACTATGGACCAAGCACTACGTAAAACAGTTGAACATTATGTTATTTAATCCTCACAGTGATCTCCCAAAGTAGACAATATCCCCATTTTTAGAGGATAACTTAATTCAGAGCTAAGTAACTCGCTCACTCTCATCCATTTAGCGGGCTGTCTTAAAAGGTTTACTCCAAAGCCACTGTCAGTAGAAATCCTATGTTGCCACCCAAAGCTTTAACAATGGGTGATGGCCTAAGGTAGCTTTTCCTTTACAAAATGACCACGGAGAGCATGCGACTCTGGGGGAAGAACGTCTCGACGGGAAGCCCGGGATCAACCCGTCCTCACCGGAGCCGGGATTCCAGCCGAACCTCGCAGACGCCGGGCGGGAGTGCGGGCGGGAGTGCGGGCGGCGCATGCGCGTCCGGCCGGGCCGGCCCCGCCCCGCGCGCTCTGTGTAATCCCACAATCCCTCTGTGTCGCACCAGAACTGTCGTCTCGT